TGTGTGTGTGTGTGTGTGTGTGTGTGTGTGTGTGTGTCTTCACCTGTTAAATCTTTAAATCCTTTAATCTTCATGTTCTGATTAAATGTCCAGATGTTCAGCTCGTCTTGATTACATGTTGGTGTGAACAACTTCATCATTATCATTATAGATATATTATATATATAATGAATATAATCTATATATATATATATATATAACGTATAATATAATTAATATACTGTATATCTATACTATATATAATATAATAAACTACATTATTGATCTTAAAGATCAACTCTGATGCTAAAAAGAAGAAAACATGAAGTTAGATTTATTTATTGATAGAAACTTTATTGTTTTTATTATTTATTGTTTGTTAAAAGAAGAGAATTCATTTGCTGAATGATTTTTTTTAAGTAGATGATGCTGCTGATGAAGATGATGAAGATGAACACAGAGCTTCAGTCTCTCGTTGGTTCAGTTTGAGTCTGATCATCTTCACTTCTCACTCAACTCTTCTTCATCATCCTTGTTATTATTGTTGTTATTCATATTGCTCTTCTTCTGGTCTTGGATTATTTCTGCTCTTTGTGTCTCGGGTAAGTTTATTTTAATTATTTATTGTACTTATACTTATATTCACATGTGATTCCATATTTAAAAGTTATTATTGTGATATTACTTTTGTGATAAATGTGATTTATGTTTGTTTTACTTTTTATTAAATATATTTTAATGTTTTTATTTCCTCTCTTTCGTCGCTCCGTCAGCTGCAGTTTGTAATTAAGTCAAATTATCCAATTAGAACAAACGACCGTCAACACGGAGATGTTTAGTAATATACCACCACAAATATATAAATATATATGTATTTAATAAAATAAGAAGTATAATATATATATAAAGACTATAGAGGTGGAGAATTATTTACATCATTTTAATGGAGATTTAAATGTGTTTAAACACACTTTCAAGATGATTATCTCATATTTATATATTTAGTATAATACTGCTTCAACAATGTTTAAGCTTAATAAATATAAAATGTTTTTGAGTGAATAATGTAAATGTAGTGAAATCCTAAAGCAGATTAATATGTTTATTATATATTTATTAAAATCAACGACAGCAAATAAATTAGAAAACAAACTTTTATTTCTGTTTTGTAGAATTTATTCTAAAAAATATTAAAATGTAGTTTTTATTTAAATAAACCTTAAAACATGAAATAAAACAGATCCATCTCAGAATAAAAGTAGATTTTAAGAAAAATAATCTGTTGTAATGAAAATAAATAAACTGTTTTAGTTTAAAATAAAACCAATAATTCACTGATTTGAGACAGAAATTTGAAAATGATTTGAAGTATTTTAAATCTGTTTATTAATGAAGTCAAACTTATTCTTCTTTATTCTTTCACTGAACAGAATATTTAAAATAAAATGTAGTTTTTATTTCAATAAACCTCTGAATCTGTTTGAAACATAAAATAAATGTGTGAATAAATTAAAACAGCTCAGAATGAAAGTAGATTTTAAGAAGTATAATCTGTTTAATGTGAAATGAAACTACAGTTAAATAATAAACAAAGACGTCGTATAAAACAATGTCTTTGTTAATAATCTTTATTCTTTAACCGTCACTGAACAGAATATTTAAAATCAAATGTAAATGTGTCTTTCTTCTGCTCCAGATGAAGGTGGAGGGTCTCCAGGAGGATGGAGGTTCTGGTTCAGACCGGACCACCACCACCCCCCCTCCCGGCTCCGCGGAGCGCCGCATGTCTCGTCTGCTGAGCGCCGTAGAGAACGAGCTGCAGGCCGGCCGGGAGAAAGGAGACCCGACGGAGAGAGAGCTCAAGGTAACGCTGGAGGACGCAGAGCTGTGGACGAAGTTCCAGAGCATCACCAACGAGATGATCGTCACCAAGAACGGACGGTAAGACCTTCTGACTACGTCGTACTGCGCCTTCCTCACCTGTGGTGTGGGTCGTGAACCCCACCTGTGGGTCGTGAACCCCTCCAACCCACCTGTGAGTCGTGAACCCCACCTGTGGGTCGTTAACCCCACCTGTGGGTCGTTAACCCCACCTGTGAGTCTGTGAACCCCACCTGTGGGTCATGAACCCCTCCAACCAACCTGTGGGTTGTTAACACCACCTGTGGGTCGTTAACCCCTCCAACCCACCTGTGGATCGTTAACCACACCTGTGAGTCCGTTAACCCCACCTGTGGGTCGTTAACCCCACCTGTGAGTCCGTTAATCCCACCTGTGGGTCCGTGAACCCCTCCAACCCACCTGTGAGTCGTGAACCCCACCTGTGGGTCGTTAACCCCACCTGTGAGTCCGTTAACCCCACCTGTGGGTCCCCACCTGTGAGTCGTTAACCCCACCTGTGGGTTGTTAAACCCACCTGTGGGTCGTTAACCCCTCCAACCCACCTGTGGGTCGTTAACCCCACCTGCGGGTCCATTAAACCCACCTGTGGGTCGTTGTACCTCAGCTGCTTTAGTTTGGTGTAGTTTTACGACGGTGAAAACATAATAAACATAATTTTTAGTTTTCTGAATATTTTACAGGTAGAACAGAACCAACAGGTGTTTGAAGCTGACTCCAGATCAGCGACCCTGTTAACCAGGTTATCCATTAGTGTCGATAGCACTCGGTTACGTTGGCGTGTTGTTGACCGGCGGCGGAGAACACTCACCTGAACTCCATTCACACCTGTTGAACAACGCTTCAGCTGTTAATGCTGCAGATCCACTCAGAGTGTATTTATTCATTGTGTTCTTTACTGTTCTTTACTTCCTGATATGTTGTGAGATAAACATATCAGGAAGTAAAGAACAGTAAAGAATTTAGATTATTTTGATTCAAACTGTTTAAAATATGAGGCAAGTTAAAGGATTCAACCACCCGAATAATCTATCTTCAGTCTTCGGTCCACCTGTGGGTCTTCCGCCACCTTTAGATCTTCCATCCACCTTTAGGCCTTCATCCACCTTTAGGCCTTCATCCACCTTTAGGCCTTCCGTCCACATGTAGGCCTTCCGTCCACCTGTAGGCCTTCCGTCCACCTGTAGGCCTTCCGTCCACTATTTAGGCCTTCCGTCCACCTGTAGGCCTTCCGTCCACCTTTAGGTCTTCACTCCACCTTTAGGTCTTCCGTCCAGCTGTGGGTCTTCCGCCACCTTTAGGCCTTCATCCACCTTTAGGCCTTCCATCCACCTTTAGGCCTTCCGTCCACCTGTAGGTCTTCCGTCCACCTGTAGGCCTTCCGTCCACCTTTAGGCCCTCCATCGACCTTTAGGTCTTGCATCCACCTGTGGATCTTAATAACTAAAGGTGTAAACTTGTTTGTGCAGCCGCATGTTCCCGGTCCTGAAGGTGAGCGTCTCCGGTCTGGACCCCAGCTCCATGTACTCCCTCCTGCTGGACTTCGTGCCGGCCGATGGCTGCCGCTGGAAGTTCGTGAACGGCGAGTGGGTGGCGGCCGGGCGGGCGGAGGGGCGTGGTCACGGCGAGGGGCGTGGCCATGGCGGCGTCTACATTCACCCCGACTCGCCCAACTTCGGCGCTCACTGGATGAAGGCGGCCGTGACCTTCAACAAGGTGAAACTCACCAACAAGGTCAACGCAGGAGGACAGGTGAGGATGCTTCCTTCACTTCCTTCCTTCCCTTCTTCTTCTTCTGTGCATTATCCAGCTCTCCATGTCAAGAGGCCTCTTCTTCTTCTTCTGTGTGTATTACTGGAGTGGGCGAGAGACTCCCGCCTCTAATTAAAGCACTTCAGTCTACTTCACCTGCTCGCCCTCCTCGTAACCACGGGAACCGGATAAACCGCTCTTTAATTGGCCGGCGGTGGTTTAATGCACTTCCTGTTCGAGAGGCAAAAACACACACTACAAACAAAAACACAAAAACATTGGCAATAACGTTGTTTGTATTTACTCCCATTATCCACACACTCACACACACACACATATACACCGACACACACACACACTGGAAACAGAGAGCTCGGCCCATAATGAAATAATTGCTCAGCTTATTTGTACATTATGGTAATTATGTTTTTTACCGGGGAAATTAATTTACCCATCATGCTTCAGGTGGATGAGAGACTATATTTGACACACACACACACACACACACACACACACACACACACACACACACACACACAGAGCGAGTGGCGGGGTCAGCCAGCCTCTCAATCTGAATAGAAAACAGTTTGTTTTTGTGTGTGTGCCTCGAGAGCTGTGATTGGTTAATTGGAGCTCGTTAGTGAGGAAGAGGAGGATGAAGGATTAAAGAGTGTTTGGGCCAAAAGACAAAGATGGCTCTGATCCACAAACAACACCTGGATCTGCTTTTTGTTTCATCCCAACTTCAGCTCAGGAAACTTTGATGTTTAAGTACACCGTTAGAGGTACTTGTACACATGAATAACATGTACTATTGTCTTCAGATCATGCTGAACTCGCTCCATAAGTACGAGCCTCAGCTCCACATCGTGTGCGTCGGCTCTCGTCATCGACTCGTCTCCAACGTCTCCTTCAAAGAGACTCAGTTCATCGCCGTCACGGCCTACCAGAACGAAGAGGTACAAGTACACACGCTGAGATTTCAGAGACTTAAACAGCGAGAATACGTTATATTTATTACATTCTTTCTCTTTGAACGTTTTTAACACACAGTTACACATGTTGGTTGTATGATAATAAATATGTAATAAAAATCATAATATTTAGTTAAAAACAACATTAATGAACCTTAATGGTCTAAATAGTTAGAGAGAATAAATTCGAGAGAATAAATTCTCTCGTTTGAAGGGATAAATAATGATGTCATATATTTACAATAGAAGAAGAATTAAACGGTTGAATCACGTGGATAGAATATTACAGAGCTGATATCTTTTTAATGTGTTTTTAATGTGTTTTTGGTTTGTTATTTTATGTGGTTTTCATGTGGTTTTGTTGTTGGTGTGTATTTGGTATATTTTTGATGTATTCTTGGTATATTTTGGTGTGTTTCTGTGTTCAGATCACAGCTCTGAAGATCAAATACAACCCGTTTGCTAAAGCCTTCCTGGACGCTAAAGAGAGGTGAGATATAACAGCTCACATTAAACTAAATGTGATAAACTTAGAGAATAATAGTACTTGTGTACATCTACTGCTGCTACTTGCCCTACATGGAGCTGATAGTACTTGTAGTCAGTGGCGGCTGGTGGAACATGTTCTAGGTAGGGCCATCCTATCAATGTCAGCAAACATCCCAGAATGATTTAATGCAAAAAAAGTATCAAACACACATTACTACTTTGCAGTTAAATATTTAACATTTATTCCAACACAAAAAAGCAGTAAATAACACTTATATAATATAATATAACATGTGTATGTATTGAGATGCCCCTATGGACCTTGTTATAGGAGGTAAAGATCAGGAGAAGTAAACATGAAGTGTAATTATGAATACTGATGTTAAATTAAGCTATGATGAGTTTTCACTGTTAATTTAACATCTCAGTTACATGTTGATGCCTCCATGACCAAGTTAAGCAGATGAGACTGAGGACAACTATGCAGAAGAAAAGATGTTCACTTTGCCTAATATGTAGCTTGACAGAGTTCTCCATGTGTGTCCTGGTGTTCTCATGTGTCCTTACTTCCTCATCCCTCACTCCCTACC